GGGTTCTGGGGATTGAACTCAGGTTGTCAGGCTTGGCAGCAAGCCCCAACAACTCCAGAGCTACCCCGTCATCCTTTAAGTGCTGCCTTGTGTGGAGCAACTGAGCATTCTCTCTCCTCTTGACCTTTCCCCTAGATTTCTCCTCCTTTTTATTCTCTCTGCCCACCAGCCCCACCTATCTCTCTCTCCTGCCTAGCTATTGGTCATTCAGCTCTTTATTAGACCAATTAGGTGTTTTAGGCAGGCAAAGTAGCACAGCTTTACAGGCTATGTGGCTGGCCCCTAGCACATTTTTTGGAAGTTGCTTACAATGAACTTCCTGTTTAGTTATGTAATATTATATCCTTCTGGGTCTTTGATGGAGTTGAAGATTAGATAGTTATAATTATAGTTTTCCTTAGTCATGACAAGAGGTAAATTAGATATGAAACTTTAGACTCACAAAAATAGGATAGATAATAGAATATTTTCTTTACTTTTGCCAAATACAAATAGACTAGGTGTTGTAACTGTAATTCTTGCTTGATAACTGTTTTGTTATATGTAATCTTACTATGTTAAAGTTAAAACCTTCCTTTTTGATTAGACAGAAAAGGGGAAGGGCTGTGGGATGCCTTTCTGTATGCTGTGAATATGTGTTGCTCTCATTGGCTGATAATTAAAGCCGTCTGACCAATGGCAAGGCAGAATAAGGTTAGGAAGCACATTCAAACTGAAGATGGAGATGAAGAAGGGTGGAGTCAGGCAGAAGCTGCGAGCCACCGCCAGGAGAAGTGAGATGTGAGAGAACAGGTAATGCTGTGAAGCCACATGGCTAAACAGATGAATAGAAGTGGGTTGAGTTAAGTTATAAGAGCTAGTTAATAATGAGCCTGAGCCATAGGCCATACAGTTTGTAATTAATATAAGCCTCTGTGTGTTTACTTGGGACTGAGTGGCTGCAGGACCGGGCAGGACACAAGAAAACCTCCAGCTACAGAGCATCTTTGTACTCCTGAGAGAGCCACCTTGATGCCCTCTAAATATGTCAATTCTGAAGTATCTCACATAAAGCACAACTTAATTTTAAAATATTGTATCTTTGAAGAGTGGCAAATGGGTACTCACAAGAGATTAGAGCTGAAAACTAGGCTGGCCCATTAAGATGTTTTGAACAGCTCCAAGAAAAGGATTTAAAGAAGTTCTATTTACTTGATACTTTATGTGTGTGAATGCAGGTACCCATAGAGGCCAGAGGTGAGTGGGATCCCCTTCGAGCTAGAGTTACATATGGTCGTGAGCTGAAGGGGATACTGGGGTCCTCCTAACCTGGGTCCTCTGTGAGAGCAGTAAGCACTCTTAGCCACTGAGCCCTCTCTCCAGCTCCTAAGGCTTGTTCTTAAGACAATATTAGCCCCCAAACACCTTTGTCTCCTTGAGGAGTTTTGTCTCCTCCTGCCAGGTTTGGTACATAGTTATCCTGTCTCCCTATGTCATGAGAGAGAGAGAGAGAGAGAGAGAGAGAGAGAGAGAGAGAGAGAGAGAGAGAGAGAAAGAGAGAAGAGAGATCGAGATCCCACTGTGGAAGGAGAGAATGGACTCCTGAAAGTTCTCCTCTGACCTTTACACATGTCTGGCACACAGGTAAGCTCATTCATGCCCCACCCACCCCGTGTGTACTATAGTTTGAGATACACACACACACACACACACACACACACACACACACACACACACACGTGCACGCGCGGAGTGTTTGTTCAGCCTCTAGTGAGCCATACCATCCCAGGTAAGGCCCTTTTCTCCATATATGAAATGAAGAAGTCGTGTCACTGGAATTATCTCTACTGTGTCATTTATTCCACAAGAACACAAGCCCTGCTTGATCAGTGGTGTCTGCCATGTCTGGGCTCAAGTCCTACAACTATTTCTAATTCCTTGAAGTTGCTCGGGATATGTTTGTTGCTAGGGAGCAACCTGTGCTGTTTGTTGGCCATTAAAAGGGCTCTCTGGCACACACACAGACACTCTGACACACACACACACACACACACACACACACACACACACACACACACACATACACAGAGCCTTTGTTATTTTTTCACCATGCCGTCACACAGACACTCAACACTCACTGGTCTGAAATACATCATTTGACTCTCAGGGGGACACACCTAAGTTACTAATACAGAAATAGAGACATGGAGACTCCTTACAGATGGGGAGGAGTGGCCTAGGAGTCAGGCAAGCTGGCCACCCCTAGTGACTACTGAGTGGCATCCCATTTCTTTGAAGTTCTGCTTTTTCCTCTGCAAGATAAGGGGCTATATTCAACCCCCAGGGGCATTGTGGATGCACGTCTCTGACTTTGGTCTTGTGCCTGTTACATATAAGAAATTTGGGACAGATGAAACCATTAGGATGGATGTGGTGTTAGACACAAAGGCAGACAATTAGTAAGAGGCACCAGCTCATCAAAGTCACTGAGGCAGGTAGACTGCCTTTCATGGTCACTGCGTGGTGCCCTTTATGAGCATCAGCTGTTAATAGCACATGAAAGCAGGTCTGTCTGCCGCTCTATTATCTCTAGCTATCCCTGGGTGGCAACACTGTGGGAGGTCACCTGCCGGCCGGTCCCTGGGAATGTCCATGTTATGTACATTGTGCAGTGTTGTGGTGTGAGGTTTCTGCTACCAGTCTCTAGAATATTGTAGGTCCATCAGCATTTGGACTCCCTCCCTTCTTCCTTCCTTCCTTCCTTCCTTCCTTCCTTCCTTCCTTCCTTCCTTCTTTTTCTTTTTTGAGACAAGTCCCCATCATGTAGCCCTGGTTGTCCTGGAACTCCCTATGTAGACGAGGCTACCTTCAAATTCCATACTCAGGCCCCTTTAATGAAAATTACATTTATTTATTCATGTGTGCGTGTGTGTGTGGGGTATATGGGTGTGTGCATGCCACAGTAAGAGTGTGGAGTTGGGTCTTTCCTTCCTTCTTATGGTTTCTTGGGGGAATTGAGCTCAGGACATTAAACTTGGTAGCAAGTGTCATTGCCTGCTGAGCTATCACCCCCATCTGCTGCCTGTTATTCTTCTGTTCCTCCTTCCATCCCTTCCTGTATTTTTCAGATTGTTTTGACAGTGCTGGGGACTGGACCCAAGGCTTTATGCATGCTGGGCAAGTACTCTACCATTGTACTATCTCCTTAATTTTTTTTTTTTAAACAGAGTCTCTCTGTGTTACCCTGGCTGTCCTGGAACTGGCTCTGTAGAATAGACTGGCCTCGAACTCACAGAGATCCATCTGCCTCTGCCTCCTGAGTGCTGGGATTAAAGGCATGAGCCACCACCACCTGGCTAAATATTTTTCTAGATGTGTTGCTGGGAATTGAACCCAGGGCCCCATGCATTCCAGGCAAGCACTCTATCACGGAGCTATATCCTCAGCACTTCTCCTCAACCTTTTAAAGGTTTTTTTTTTTTTTTTTTAATGAAGGGTCACTAGACATTTTCCACCTACTAGGATGTCATTATGAAAACAAAATAACAAATAACAAGGGGTTTCCAGGAGGTAGAGATATTGGGACTCTCTCTCTCTCTCCATTTCTGACAGACATAAAATGGTGTCGACATAAATAGCAAACAGTAGAATGTCTCTTAAAATATTCAGAATGGGGCCAATAAGATGGCTCAGTGGGTAGAGGGACCTGCTGCCAAGCCTAATGACCCGAGTTTGATCCCCAGGACCCCACATGGAGGAAAGAGAGAACTGCCTCCTACAAATTTTTTTGCTGACTTCCACAAGCATGTCATGCCATGGGTCTCCTCAAATAAATACGTTAAAATTTAATGATGTAGAACTGGAGAATGGAATTTCCATATGGTCCAGATACATTTATCACCTTTGGAGATATATCTGAAAGAAATGAGAGCAGGATTTAAGATGGCCCTGTAGCTGTCTGTAGCACTGTCCACAGTGGCCACAGGTGGAAGTAACCCGTATGCCCAATGACAGATGTTCTGTACCTGGAAAATGGAGCATAGGTATACAAAGCAATGCTAGTTGCCTTCCAAGCAGAAGGAAATCCTCTGGCACCAGAGAAAGGAAGAGCATCATGAAGTTGAAGTTATCCTGGGCTGTACCAAAGACCCTGGCTCAAAAACAAACGGATAGGACTGGGAAGGTGACTCATTGGTGGGTAAGTGTGAGGATGTGAGCTCACATGCCCACAACTCACGTGACAGCTGAACGCAGTAACACTGGTGTCTGTAACCCTAGTGTGTGTCTATTGGGATGTAGGTGGTGGATACAGAAAAGCCACAAAAATCTGGTGGGCCAGCTAGCTTGGTCTCACAGCAGCGAACAGCAAAAGAGACTTCATCTCAAATAAAGTGGAAGCAACAGCTGACATCTGAGATTGCCCTCTGACCTCCATGTGCATGCCATGCAGGAATATGCCATGCGTGTGTGTGAGCATGCTTACACACACACACACACACACACACACACACACACACACACACACACACGTAAAATAAGCAAACCTTAAGAAACAAAACAGAAATCCTGTTACAAATAAACACCACATGGTGAGAGACGAGGGTGATGCTGGAGAGACTCGGTAGTTAAGAGCACTTACTGCTCTTGCAGAGGACCGAGGTTCAGTTCTGAGCACATCAGGTGGTTCCAAACTACCTATAAGTCCAGGTCCAGGGGATCTGATATCTTCTTCTGGCCTCCACAGATACTGTCCTAACATGTTTCACATACAGACAAGCAGACTTGTATAAACACATGTAAATAAAATTAATGAAATATCTCCAAAGAACCCTCAGATACAACGTGGGTGGGCATTGAAGATTTTATGCTAAGGGAAACAAGGCAGGCCCCAAAGGTATACATACTCTATAAAGTGTGATTCTGTTATATGAAGCGTCAAAAGTTGTCAAGCTCACAGAGAGTAGAATGGTGATGGCCAGTGGGAGTGGGGTAGGTATCTGTTACTCAGTGAGTGTAAAATTTCAGGTTTTCTAAGTGAGAAATTTCTAGAAACCTTCCAAATACAGCAATGTGAACGTAGTTAATAGTACTGGACTGAACTGTTTTGTTTGTTTTTTTGAGACAGGATCTTAGTTGTCCCAGCTTGACTGCAGATTCACCAAGGACAAGTTGAAACTACTTACCACACAATCTACAGGTAACTAGTGCTGTGATTCCAGGCATGCGCCACTGTGCCGGGCTTGAACTGAACTGTTACGCACAGTTAAGCTGGTAGCATTCGCTAGGCATGGTTTTTAGTACGGTTGAAGAACAACCAGAGGTGCACTCCAGTTCCGAGTGGCAGCTAGTCTCCATTCTTCGTCACATTAGAATGACCCCCATCTCTTCACACCGAGCTGTTTATTTCAGCCCCATTAATAGGAGACACTAATTCTTCCAAGCATTGCTAAGAAAGACAAAAATGTAGTTCAATAAATGCAGAAGACACAGTAAAGTAGGGTGGCAACAAGATTGTAATTATGCAGGACAGGGCTGACTTCAGAAGATGGGTCCAGAAGGGCAAGGAAACAGCGGGACAGACAGGATGGACACTTCATTGACAGTGTGTCCAGTGAGTTCTCCTGGGACTGTTAGGGTTGTGTTGGTCAGGACACAGTCTTCCCAGTTGTGTTTATTCTGTTTCAGGTAGCTCTATAATCCTGCATCTTGCTGTGGGCTTAGCGTAGCTCGTGGGATGAGATACTCCTGGCTGGGATCAACAGTCTGGAAAGGAATGGATGCCATTAGCAACCTTCTGAGCCAAATATTATCATTTAACTATCAGTTAATTATTTGTTAGTTAAAAAACAAAAACAAAAACAAAAAAACCTTTCAGATCGTTCCGGTTTTATTCCCATGGCTGTGATAAAATGGTCTCACAAAAAGCAACTCAGATGAGAAAGGTTATTCCAGGTTTTAAGTCAAGATGCTGGGAACTTGAAACCAACTAATCACATTACACCCACAGTCAAAGGCAGAGAGAAATGAATGCATGCTCACTCTGCTTGCTAACTTGTTCTGGGTTCTATTTTTCCTCTTATGTGATCCAGGATCCTCTGCCTAGGGAGTAGTTCTGCCCACAGTGGGTCAGATCTTTCCATACTATGTAAAGTAATTAAGACAGTCCTCTACAGTTATGGCCATAGGTCAAGCTAATGATGACAATCCCTCCTCGAGGCTCTTTCCTCAGGTGACTCTAGACTGTGTAAAGTTGACGTTGGAACCAACCATCACATAAACCTATTTATGTCAGATTCCACTGTTCGTCATTAATAAGATTTTTTTTCTCTTGGCAAGGCAATGGAATAGCTGATTCCTGGAATTGGAAATGCATCCAAGAAACTCTGAAGGAATGGATAAAAACAGTTTTTTTCTCGTTGTGCAAAAGCTCCCCATTCCCATCCCCCACTGCCAGAGTTGAATAGAGCAAATGATGTGTGGTCAAGTCCTGGCCTAAGTGCCATTCAGGGAGACACAAATTCTCAGTTACAGATGGGAGAGCTGAGCTTGACCAGTTTCCTCATAAAGTTCAGTGGACAAGTGATGGGAGAGTAGCTTTTACTCTTGGATCTCAGATGCTTGTGGTTCCCACACAGGAGGAGGTTTTTCCCCAACGTGGTATTTTTGGGCTTTCAGGACCTGACTGACTGTGAGCCATCACAGCTCAATGTGTCACAGCGTGACGTGGAATGTCCAATCGACTCAGCAGAGCTCCCTCTGCTTTTGCTTGAAGGATTAAAATTGGTTCATCCATCTGGGCTTCCAGATGGTAACGAGACCCAGCCCTGTTCTCAGGATGGCCTGGCCTGTCAGGGCTAAGAGTGATTCACAGGGGATGTTCACAGGGGATGTATGTTAAGGGTACAGGGGATAGATTTAGGTAGCCGATACTAAAACCAGATTCAACACTCATGCATATTACAGACTTCCATTGACCCTGGTGCAGAGCTTATCCAGCCTCCTCAATATCACACAGATCTCGATGCTTGACTTGGTCCTTCCTGGGAAGAATACACTGAGGTGATGGTGTGGAGGGAGGAGACTCACGGGGTTTAAGCTGGGGGCCTCTCCTGTGCCATCTGGTGTGGCTTGAGTCTGGCTTGTCCTGCCTGTCCTCCCTCAGGTCAGTGAAAGTCACTGGACATAGACTTGAAGGAAAGAGTGTTCGCCATGTCTTCCTAGGTGAGTGAGTCGAGCACATTTACCTGCAGCTGAATGGGAGTACCATGTGCAGTTAGAGCTACATCCTCCTCAGCTCCATCACTGTCTCGGGCTGAAAGCCAAAGGAGGGAAGGGCTGTGTTAGTGTTGGAGTCACTGGGACTACGAGGAGGCTCAGTGCCTGCCAAACTGGCTCTTGGTGCTTTAAAAGGACTACTTGGGGCCGGGCGGTGGTGGCGCACGCCTTTAATCCCAGCACTCGGGAGGCAGAGCCAGGCGGATCTCTGTGAGTTCGAGGCCAGCCTGGGCTACCAAGTGAGTTCCAGGAAAAGGCGCAAAGCTACACAGAGAAACCCTGTCTCGAAAAAAAACAAAAAAAAACCAAAAAAACAAAAAGGACTACTTGGTTGTGGCAGCTATTAAAAAAAACAACCCAATGGGTTTGCTCATTCATTCATCCATTTAATTCCCTCATCTGTTAGTTTGAGACGCGATGTCATAGGGCCTGGGCTGTCTTCAAACTCAGTATGTAGCTGATGCTAGCTTCGAACTCCTGATACTCCTCCCTCCAGCTCTCAATCACTGAGATGACAGGGGTATACCATCACATCCAGCCCTTGAAAAAATCTAATTGAAAAGAATCTTTGAAATGTTTAGGAGGAAAGTTGTATAATGTTAGAGAACATGTGTTCAGGAGAAACACATGGGGATGTAGTAACTGCAGAAGCAGGAGAACATCATAACTTTCCAGAAAAGGACCCAACCCTGGGCTGGCATGGCCTCTGTCTTGGAGTTAACAGTGACCCCTGGGGTCGTAGACTTTCAACTGTCCCTGCAGGCTGACTTCTCTACAAGCTTGGATTCATTTTTATTGTTGTTGTTTGAGAAGGGACTTACTTTGCAGCCCAGGTTGGCTTAGAACTTCCTGTGTAATCTAGACTGGCTGCAGTCACTTTTGGTGATCCTCCTGCCTCAATCTCCTGAGTGTTGGGTTTACAGGAGTGTGCTACCATGCCCAGGCTAATTAGATTCAAATTTTAAAACTGGACATAATAAAAAAAATTATTTCCAGAGTTTGCCCAACATTGGAAGGCCCTGGGTTTGATTCCCAGCACCACAAATAATGAGCACCTAAGGGCACACACATGTACATATGTACACATACACATGCACAGACACACACAAGCACACACACACACACACACACACACACACACACACACAGAGAGAGAGAGAGAGAGAGAGAGAGAGAGAGAGAGAGAGAGAGAGAGAGAGAGAATTCCCTAGAGAAATACTACATTGTCGTAGAATAACCACAAACACAGTTATTTGTTTAGTGACAGTCTCCTCAACCGGGCAGCAGTCTCTATGAAGGCAGGAACTTCTGTCTCTCAGCCCAAACACCTATTCCATACATGCTTGTGTCTGGGTGTTCACAGACATAGCTGTGTCAGTAGTGGTCACACTTAGAGGCTGCGGTGCTGGTGGTTGGACCCTGGAGAAGGTGGACCTGGGACCCCCATTTGTGTTGTCTACTTCCCTTTTCTCTCTCAGGAGGGACACTTGTCCTCTCCCTGTCTGTCAAGTTCCTTAACTTTTTGTTCATGTTGCTTCCTGGTGGAAATAAAAGGAAAAGCCTGATGATCATGACAGCAAGTCTGTTCCCTAGGTTCCCGAGGATGCAAACAATTAATGTCTGGTGAGTGCTGGGACCCGAACCTCAGTCCTCTGCAAGAGCACTATTTGCTCTTAAGAGCTAAGCCATCACCTAGTGCAATGGAAACTCCCAATGATCTATGAAGGTGACCCTAACTAAGATTCCTAGCAATAGGGGATACAGAGCCATCTCCTGTAACTGGGCAAGACTTCCAGTGGAGAGGTTGGGATACCCATCTAGCCACAAACCCTTTGACCTACAATTTGTCCTGCCCATAAGATGTGCTGGGGTAAAGATGGCGCAGACATTGTGGAGTGACCAACCAATGACTGGCCTAGCTGGAGACCCACACTCTGAGAGGGAGCTCACCCCTAAGGGCCAGGACCCAGAGGCTGGATAGCCCAGAGACCTAGGACAGGACAACAACAATAACAACAGCCAACAGTTAATAATAATAATGAAAAAAAGAGCTGAGCTGTCTCCAGCCCTCACCTATAACCATTTAAGCAGGGTAGTGTTTTTTGTTGTTTTGTTACTGTTTGGCTCCGTTTTTAAATAGTGCTGGGTTGAACACAGCCTTGCCTGCTAGGCAAGCACTCTACCACTGAGCTATAGCCTCAACATTTTTGTCCTTTTTTATTTTTTATTTTATTTTTTTTGTGTGTATGTATGTATGTATGGGGGGGTACATGTGAGTGTGTGCATAAGTGTGGATGTCAGAAGACAGCTTATGGAGTCGGTTTTCTCCTTTTACCAAGTAGGTTCTGGGGAGTGAACTCCAGTGGTCAGGCTTGGCAGCAGGTGTTTTTACTCACCGGGCCATTCACCAGTCCCTGTAATGGAATCTTAGGTGTGCATTGTGGGGGACCACGTAATGTTTCCATACGTGTATACATCACACCATGTTCAAATCTAGGGAAACATACATTTCCTTAGCCATTTCTTTATGATGAAAACTTTTCAATTCTTTTTGTTAGATTAAAGCAAACCAGATAATACACAGTATACTTTCCTGTGTAACAGCAGGCCAGAATTTCTTTCTCCTACCCAATTCTAAGGTGACACTCATTCACTGACTTTCCCCCGTGTTTCCCTGTCCACTAGACTCCCAAGCTCTGGGGAAGAATCTTTCTACTCCCAACTGGTGGGAAATCTTCTTCTTCTTTTCTTTTCTTTTCTTTTCTTTTCTTTTCTTTTCTTTTCTTTTGATATTAGAGTGACAGGAAAGAAAAAAAAAAAGCTTCCTGTAAAAGAGCAGGCAAAACTTATCACCTGGGTCTATTCCACTGGGTTTCCTTTGAGAAAGTAGGTACACTTTGAAGAAAAAAATGGGGAAGTGCGAGATCGCTTAGTTTAGTGCGTAAAGACACTTGCCATAAAAGTCTGCCTACCTGGGTTTGGGCCCCAGATCCCACTGTGGAAGGAGAAAAACCGACTCCTGGAAGTTGTCCACACATGCACACGCACACACACACACACACACACACACACACACACACTATATATATATATATATATATATATATATATATATATATATATATATATATATATATAATTTAAAACAACAGAATAAAGAGTATCGAAAAAGACCATACCCAACCAAAGCTGATACGTTGGGGAAACCCACCCAAGTCTGCCGTTTGCAGGACTGGCTTTCTCACGGCTCACTCATTTTAGACTTATTGACCCATTTTCACTGCTGAGCTTCGTCACTTATCTTTGTCTTATACCTTTGAAATTCATCACGCTAATACCCATCCAGCCGCTGGACAGAATCCCGCCCACCAGAGTCCTTTAAAGACAGGTAGGTCTTGCTTTTAGCAAGCCTGGTGCGAACAATATTCTACTTAATCTACAATGGATAAAGCAGGCAATAATTGGGGGGAGGGCTGTCCTGTCCCCAGAAGATCTGTAACTGATATTTAATGTGTTTATGATCTCTTCAAGTTCTCAGTATGAACAGCTGGTATAGTTAAGTGGCCATGGATTTGGGGGCTGGGGGTTAGCTATAACTTAGGAGAACAATTATTCTGAAATAAATCCACTAACTTCAAATAGAAACAACATAGTCCATCAATCAATCAAATTAAAGAGGCATATGTTAAAATACCAACATCCCAGATACATATAAAAGTTAATTAAGCACAAACATAATTTATAAATGGCTTCTTCACTTATACATTTTAATTACTTCAATTATACACACATTTTTGCACTGTTCTGGGGTATCTTTATGATAACATTCCCAGTGCCTAACAATATGTTGAACTTGTGAAATATTAATCAAATGCTGTGAGAATACATAGATATGTATGTGCTCAAGTGAAGCTGAGTGTGGGGTGTATGAATGTAATCCCAGCACTGGTAAGACAGAAATAGCAGGGTCAGGAGTTCAAGGCTAGCCTGAGCTACATGAGACCCTGACTCAAACAAAAACAAAAACAAAACAAAAAAAAGAAGTCTTATGAAGAACAACTGGTTTAAAAATTCCATCAATATACAGCTGTGTGTGCATGCTTAAGTATGTGAGGGTTCACGTGTGTGTATGCATGTGTGGGGAGGCCTGAAGTCAACCTTGGTGTTGTTCCATGGACACTGTTCACCATGGTAATTTTTACATATGTGTGGTGTGTGTGCATACATGCTTGTGTGTAGTGTGCACACACACACACATAGGGGTTGGAGATTGACAATGAGTATCCTCTGAATCACCCCCCACCTTACATATTGAGGCAGGGACTCTACTTGGACCTAAGGTTTCCGATTTGGCTAGCTTGCTCTAGGGATCTCCTGTCTGTCTCTGCCTGGTGAGGGCTGGCATAACAAGGCTTTCATGTCTGCCTGGCATCTTTATGGATGCTGGGGACCCGAACCATGGTCCTCACACTTCTGGAACACGTGCTTTACTAATGAGCCATCTCCCCAGCTCTGTCCATCATGTTTTTTTGGAGACAGGGTCTCTCATGGGCCAGGACTCACTGATTTGTCTAGGTTAGCTGGACAGGGAGCCACAGGGATCTGCCTGCCTCTGCCTCCCCAGCATTGGAATAACAATGTGTGCCACCACACTTGGGCATTTGACATGGGTTCTGGGCATCAAATTCAGGTCTCATGTTTGCACAGTCAGCACTATTTATCCAGTTGTTTAGGAACACATTTACAATAGAAGTAAATCTGCCCATTTGTGCTATGTCCTGTAGCGACATGCCTGGTTGCATTTGTCTCCAGATGTTGTTGTCGTCTAGAATTAAGTCCATAAGCTACTTCAGAGCGATTTTAAAGCCTAATCTTTGCAAAGACTTCCAGGAACTGGATGGAGTCTTTAATCCCTTTTGCTGATCGGTTTCGGCAAATCCTTTACCATCTCTTACTTTCCCATTTGGTATCAATCCTCCACGTGCTGGTTCAAGTTCATTTTACCCCGTTTTTAGTTGGAGATGGGGAACAGTGGGACAACTGCCTCCCACAGAGGTGTCTTCACACTTGTGAAATTCTCTGCTAATCATCCCTTGACTCCTTTTCTCTCAGCTGCATAATTCTGGTTTTATAAGCCCAGCGGTAAATCAAATAGCAATGCCGTTGGAGCCATGGTGGCAAACAGCGTGAGTCAGAAGAGTCACAGGGCCACTGTGCCTCATGGACCTGAACAAAATGCCGTGTTTCAGGACAGAATGGAGACAGACAGAGCCTGGATCGGCTATGAGAAAGGCGCATAAAACTTGAAACTACCAACTCAGTTTTACTGGCCTAACCTTTCCACACAGGTGTGACGCTGAAAGCCTTTAATCATGACTGTGGTTTTCCACAGAGCCTCCCCAAGTGCCCCACACGTCTCATTAGTGGATCCCAGACCTGTATTGATGCTGGAGACCGACTGATGCCGAGAACAAGGGCACGGCTGTTCTCCCCAGCCGCATGCCTGTTTAGTTACACTGTGATCATTCCTTCAATAAACAAGATCATGGGCCAAGGGGATTTGCTTTCCAGCTGCCTCCACGGGAGCCACAATCACACCTGTGGTTTTCCAAGGTGCTGGCTTGTTTCTACATGGTTTCTCTTTTTCCCTGGCTAGTTGTAACCCTACACTTTCTATTGCATTTAAATTACTCTCTTCATGTTTTGATAATTGCATTTTCCCAGACTTAAGTTCTGATTCTAGTCTCTGATCTGAATTTTCAGGTGACTCTGCCCAATCTTGGAGGGCAATTTGCATCTTTAAGGCACTATACTATTGATTTACCCCCCAAAAATATCAAATGCCTGGCAATAACTATCATCGGCAGACTATTTCCTGTATAAGATGGAGTTTATTTCTTTCCTTTTTTCCTTTTTTTTTTTTTTTTAAGACAGAGTTTCACTGTGTAGCCCTGGCTGTCCTAGAACCCACTCTGTATACTAGGTGGGCCTTGAACTCAGAGATCTGCCTGTCTCTGCCTCCCGAATGCTGGGATTAAAGGTATATGCCACCAGCATTCACTTTGTTTTTTGTTTTTTTGAAACAGAGTTTCTCTGTGTAGTCCTGGCTGTCCTGGAACTCACTCTGTAGACCAGGCTGGCCTTGAACTCAGAGATCGACTTTCCTGCAGCCCCCTGAGTACTGAGTGCTGGAATTATAGGTGTGCACCACCACCGCCCAGCTCAAGAAATGGATTTTTCTAATCTTGATTGGATAGTACGGTAGTTCTGACCAACTATCAGAACTATCGTTCTGATGGAAGACTTCTGTGAGCTCTGAGACTTTCCTTATAATACCTTGTTTTTGAGACAGTCTTCATATGGCCTGGAATTCATCCTGAGACACAGGCTGGCATCAACTTCAAATGGACTTTCTTGCCTCAGTTGCCCAAATGCTGGGATTATGAGGTTGTTACACCACACCTGGCAACACTTTAAATCTTTTTGCTTGTTTGTTTGAGACAGGGTGGTGCCCTCCCTACAACACCTCAAACACATGTCTAACAATAAGGGTCACTGCAAGCATATTTTGGGATATTAGGATACTTCTTTGTTTCTGGGATAACACAAAAGAAGAAAATAGTAACTTTTATCCCATCTTCGGGTAGGAACTCTGAAAGGAATTTTAAAGAATGACAGACTCTGCAGTTTCCCCTGAAAACCTCAGGGATCAGACGTGAAGCATCCACAGCAAGGCTTAATTTTGCAGGAAGGATACATAGCATCAATTTCCGACTCTCTGTCAACTGAACTGAAAAGAACTAATAGATGCATTTATCTGGACAGGATTTAATTTGAATGTGTAATTAACTAGAGATAACAGCTCAGAAAGTGTACGTACTTAAAAGGAAAGCTTATATTAAATGTTTTTGAGCCTGGCGAACATTATGTTTGCCATATAATATATAAAATAGCATCTTTGTTACACAATAGAGAGAAAATGGGAGAAATCAGTTGTCTATTAAGACATCAAAAGTGATGCAAAACTATGACACTGGACTGTAGATAATGTCAGATGTTCCATAAGAGGAATTAATGAGTTTTGATACAGTTCCAGATAACTGAAATTAGCCACTATTTCCTATAGGTTGATAGGGACCAAGCATCTTTGGTATCATGGATAATGTCAACCCCTAACAAAACAGAGACAGGAGCTTGATTTTCTATATGGATACATGTGACCTAGAAATTAGCAAGAAAATGTCACATAAGCAGTTGTTTCCTGTCTACTAATGATTACACACCTGAGCTTTTACTTAGAATTCGGATTAAACGGACCATTTCATAGCCTTGAAAGATTTTTTTTTGAAACAGTGAACAACTTGCAAAATAAAAACCCGGAAGTTGTTGAACTCTGTGGCTCTCATGAGTCCCACAGATCAGCTTTACACTTTACCTGGGTAGTTAGCTTTCAGACTTAAACTTTTAAAATGTCTGTTACTTTTGCCAGGGTCTACTTTTGTGCTTGACAGCCAACATGTCTGAACTTAGCATGGCCTGATCTACCCCTGGGGCTGGTTAACTCATTTTATTCTATTTGTTTACTTTATTATTATTTTTGAGACATGCAGGTAGTTCAAGCTGGTCTCAAACTCTGTGTCGCCAAGGATGACTTTGAACACCCGATCCTCTTGTATCCACCTCTGTGCGTGCTCCCACCCTAGCTTAATTGATTCATTTTAGAGTGGGTGACTTTCTTTGCCAAGCTTCAGCAACAGTCACTCCTTTTCATCTAGAACCTTTAATTCTTTTTGTCCTGTTCTTTCCACATAAAGCCTGTTTTGGAAGATCTTCTTTTCCCTTGGTTCTAAAAGGCTTTGTCTCTATACTTGACATGACTCACCAAAAATCTGGCCCTTGCCATTGAGATCCCTCTGGGATCTTTCTGCCCTCCCTGCCCCAGGCCCTCTGGGATGTACCTCTGGAGAGTTCCTGGTTCTCCATCCTGAAGCTGCGTTGGTAGACTGGGACCTGGCATGCGCTGCCTTGCGGAGGACACTCCTGTCTACACGATCTGTAGAGGATGGACAGCTCAGGGATGATATAGAGCAGCAGGAAAACCCACGCATTGGTGACCAGGCCAATGCAGATGACCGCGTCGTCCCACTGTGGCTGCCGCTGGAGCTGAGGGTTGCCTCTCAGGAGCATGGAGATCCACACCACCCAGATAATGATGGAGACCAGCACAGTGGCAAAGATGAGCCTTCCGTGCTGCTTCCAGTTCTCACATGGGCCACAGAAGGTGGCCTTGGAGACAAAGAATGTAAGGGCCATCAGCAAGAGGACATAGATCAGGAGACAGACAAAGTCCACATTGAGCTGATAGGGTGTCATGTGCACGAACATCAAACCTCTTGTCATGATGAGGGTCACATACTCTATCGCAAGGATGATCTGCAACAGGCTGACACCAATAGCAATGAACAGAATTGTGGTCCAGCAGAAGGAGACTCTACCCCGGACCAGCTTCACCAGGTTGGAGGCATGAGCCAAGAGGCAGGAGAAGCAGATAGCAAAGAGAACCCCAAAGAGGAAGTAGCGAACAGGGGCAGTTCGTTGGTTGAGCTGGATGATGAAGGCAAAAGCAAGTCCGAAGAGCCCCAGCACCCCCAGCAGGAAGAGGAACTGGGTAGGAAGCACGTTCCACTGGCTGCAGTCCTGCACCTTCCGCATGAGGAAGAGAAATGCCAGGAGCAGCAATATTGTAACTACTATGCCAATCACTGCCAAGGACTCCAGCACAATGCCCCATGGCCCCTCATTGTCACAGAAGAGGTAATAGTCTTCTGTGGACTTCATGCAGTCCTCATACATGGTAACTTATAGGTGGACCTCACGAAAATGGATGTCTGGTCTCCTGTGAAAAAAAGATGAAGATAACTCATGACTTTATAGCCACCCACAAGAATGCCTGTTGGGAGTCCGGTCCTTCATTCCAAATGAAGATACCTGAGCATATGCAGGGCATGGCTTTACTAAAGAGTCACCCAGAAACAGGAGAGCAACATTGTATCTCTCAACACTTCTCTAAACACCAACTTTCCTGGGTGGGATAAAGATCTGATAGATAAAAGTACAGTCTACAAACATAGGAACACCATCCTCTCTCCTATGCCCACATTTACAACTGCTGTGTATAGGATGACAAGGATGGGAAGAAGGCTAACCTACACCCTTCGACACTGCCTTAGCTCTGTCTCTGCAGAGCGAAGCCAGAATGCTCTTCCCTTGGGGACTCCAGATAATTCATCTATTTTTGTATCAGAATTTCCAAAGGCCATTTGAAGGCAAACAGAATCTTCTTGTCTGATCGGTGGGGTTCTAGCTGTATCGGGCTCCAGAATGTCAAGGCATCCTTGATTGGATTGTCTCAAACATTGATGCCCTGCCTCAAGCAGATAGGCCAGCCATCTTCCCCAGTAACTGGAATGACTATCTTTTCTTTCATTTTAATTCAAGTCAACCCAATGCAATGGGCTATTATTATTAGACACTGTTATCTGTTCACCAAAAAAGTATGCAAAATGTCACCTTCCTTCAAGTAACTTTACAGATATTTAGAACTAAAATCCCTGACTGAACTTAGGTGGCCTAGAAAAACAACCGCATGTTGATTCCAATAAAATAAAACAACAACAACATAAACAAATACAGAATGCCCTGTTGCATTTGAATACTCCTAGCCCCATTCCCCTTTAGCTACTCCAAGTTCAGCTGGCAGGAGTGGTGGTCCCAGTTGACAGCTGACACCAGAGCCGCCGGACTCCAACCTACCTTCTCTGTGGCTGTTCTGGAAGCCAGTGAGGCTGTGGTGGTGGTGGTGAAGCTGTGACTGTAAGTGAGTAAGGAGGAGACGACCTCAGGCGCTTTAATCTCTCCTCAGACAGGCGGAAGACCTGCAGGACCTCACTCAGGGCCCAGAAGTGTCTATAAAAAGAACTGGAAGGACAGAAAGACACACCTAGTCCAGTTTCACGGCAACTTTTCTGCATAGAATCCTTTGGTGAGAATAATTATTTCTCATTTACTGCTGACCAGAGGTGCCTTGGCCCAGAGAGGTGTGACTTTAGGGAAATCTGTTTCCTTACTACTCCAATGTGTTTAGGAAGCTATGGGGAAGATACTTAATGCCTATTTCAGGGGCTTCTCCCAAACACTGATTTAAATCCAAAGATTCTGAAGAGCTTCCATTTAATAAAGTACCATGGCTTTCTCTGGGCATATAGAAGGGCAATTTTACCTACCCCTGGTGCTCACATAGCTGATGGTGGATCAAATTGTGAAATTAAGAGGAATCCTTTTTCTCTGCTCTTTCCTTGTCTTTGGGAAATCATTCCTGAGACCCTGGCTGCTCACTGTGAATGGCCTCTTTCCTGGACAAACTGTTCTTGGCGTCTCCCAGCACCTTGGCTGTAACCTCTCACCTCTGCTCTCCTCAGCCCCATCAATACACTTGCTTTGGGTCTTGTGGCCGCTGGGCATTCCTGTGTCCAGAGATGGAGGAATTCATAATTAAAGGTCACCAGCTGATACTGAAATAACATACTTTTTTTCTCTATGGTGACACATATAATTCTACAAAATGCCCCCAGTTTCCTTTGTGATCCTTTCCCCATATGCAATTTGAAGATCCCACATTAGTGCACCTAATTTGGTTTTGAGATACCCTGGGACCCAGCTCTACATTTTCCATCCAACCATATTCCACCCAGATCTCCAGATGTCATGGTTTAGCCAAGTTTGTTTTCCCAGAGTCTTGAAAAGAAATAAGACCCACCCACTCAGCTTGTCTTAGATTGCCTTAGCTTGTCTCTCCTTTGAATGACCCCTTACCTTTTTGTCCATGTACCTTGTTTCTCATCTAAGCCCTTCTTCTACTTCCAAGGTTGGTTCATCATATCTCCCAGACCCTCTTGCCTTCCTGGGTCATTCCAACCCTTGTGGATTACCTTCTACCAAACTCTCTGATACCTAAGAACGAATTCTGTTCTAAATGAAAGAAATCCTAACTTTTGGGACCTAATTTATGAGTTAATTTTGTCAATAAATATGTAAAGTAGTAAATAATAAAGTAAATAAATGAATAACAATAAACAAGAAATATGTCAGCATGAGCCAGGTATGGTGGCACATGCCTTTGTTCCCAGCACTTGGGAGGCAGAGACAGATGGATCTCTGAGTTTGAGGCTAGCCTTGTCTACAGAGCAAGTTCCAGGACAGCCAGGGCTACAATGGAGAAGCCTGTCTTGAAAAACAAAAGTCAAAAAAACCAAGAAGAAATATGTCAACTTCTCTGTATGAATCTTACTTTCTTGTCTTCTCCATAGCACCTGGCCCCGTGTGGAGCATCTGCTAGGTGCGTGGTTTGATGAAGCGAGTGAATCTAATATTTCTGAGGAGATGCCTTTTCACAGTGTGGTTGTCAGCATATGCTTCTTAATGTAGACCACCCGCTAAGACCTCAGGTCTTTAACAAACCCTTGACAGGTTCATTCTGGCATGTTTCTGTCTTGAGAGTCTCCTTAACTTCAAAGAGGCCATTTTCTCCCTTGAGAGAAGAACCTTCTGGGACCATCACCGCTGCCCCTCTGTGACTGTCAGGATAAGCTTACAGTAAGGGGAAGGGGACTCTGCAGCGGATCGGATGGACATCCAGGAGAATTCACTCAAGAGCTCCGTGAGTGGTGTGATTGCCACCAGCAGACAGAGGAGATGTTTCCACGGAATTTTTCCAGCTGAGCTACTTTGGTGACCTCCACTTCCCCACCTTCCTTCAGGTTAGTCATGGTCCTCTCTCTTTGTTGTATGAAGAGGCACTCCTGACCTTGGGATGGCTTGAGGCAGGTAAACCAATGGGTTAATGACCACAAAGCCCTTTGAGCACCTTAGATAAAAGGACCCGGCTTAAGTATTAATTATCATTATTTAAAAATCTAGGGTGATAGAATGAACCCATCTGTTGCTGGGCCTGGAGGATATGAGGCCCTTTTTGCCAACACACATCCGAATTACTCACACCTCATTGCTTTGGCTTCTACGCACTAACAGCATCAGAACAAACAGCCGAGATATGGCTTTGATGAATCAAAATACATCGATTACAGCCAGTCCATTAAAAATGGAGATGAAACAGTGAAGAGACCAAGCGCCTTCTGTCAGAAACAGCCCTCTGACTGGATAGATCTGGGAGGGCATGTGGGCACTCATCTGGTCTCACTCTTCCATTGAGAGTGAGAAAGCCAGCTGTGCAACATGAGGAACTTAGAATAAGGAAGCAGAGGTCTAGGCAGATGAAGGCAAGGACCCAAGGCACGGGTGCCAGAGAAGACAGCCAGGGTGCGCGGACTAAGCCTCCAGGGAAGAGTCTGTGTGTACAGACACCGACCGGCTAGAACAGCAGCGCTGTGGAGAGATTGAAACGTTGCAGGTCCAGAGGCCAATTACCTTATCTTGGCTAGTTCTAGCCCTCCAGAGCAGCCATTCCTTGCCTACTTCTGTATCAGAACTAGCATCTTGTAACTCATAGATAAAACCCTTTTGGGATCTGTTAATTTAGCAGACCACTAGCTTCCACCAACCCAAAAGCTCAGAAAGCATCTTAGACCCATAGAAAAGCTTTCCCCATTTCTCTCTACCCACCAATGTATTTTAAACTTGCCTTGATTTATGACTTTTTTTGTCCCATAAAAACTTCATGAAACTGCTTCCACATTGGAATATGTAATTTGGGGTAACCTAAGTCTGTGTTCCCAGGCCATGGTCACTCAGAATGGCTCCCAAATGATAAACTATCTCTTATTCCCTTTAAGATGAGAGCCATAGTTTTTGCAGTGACAGTTGTCCAACTCCCAGTCATGTTCTTGCTCTGGTCCCATCTCTTAGGGACAGGTCCTTAGAAAGACTCAAGTCTTTAGATAGGAACTGTGGATTGTGACTAGAAGAAAGAAAAAAGAACCAGCGTGTGAGAGTGAGCCACATGCTCCTCGCCCCACTGATACCATGACTGGCCGCATGAGGAGAGGCTGTGATGGGGGCAGTAGCCATGAAAGGACTGTCTGTCCTTTGGTTTATTGGTATCTACAAGGTGCCCCTACTCACCAGGTCCCTGTGCTTGACACTGATGCTCTTCGGTCGCCATCTTGGAATTCTTAATGCCTTTGTCTTGTATTTATGTTTGGTCAATGGAGTGGAGTGGGGCCATGTGTGTGTTTCTTTAAGCCATCACCCAGGCTTGATCCAGCTTCCCACCATCTCCTCCATAGACAGGTTCCTGAGTACCTAGTCAATTCCCTGTGCCCCGGGTCAGCCAGCCTCCCCAGGTCTAGGGCTGAGCCTCAGCTGGGTCACTTGTCTGCATGGGTTAGGTGGGGTGCTCTTGGAAAGGGCTGTTACCGTATCTACTTCTATGCAGGACCCCACATTTTCAGTTTACACTGGCTCTCAAAAATTATATAGTTGTCCCTAGGCATCTCATTCTGAAATTTCCAAATAATACTCTATTAGTCTGTATCAAATTATATCAGTGTACACACACTGTACAGTTTAATGGTATATACTAAAAGGGTGTGAAGTATCACAGCAACTAGTCTGGACTAGTAAACTATTAAAATCAACTGAGTCTCACTCATTTATGAATGTCTGAGTATTTTAAAAATTATTTATTTTTTTATTTTGACAGCAAGGTCTTGCTTTGTAGCCCAGGTTGGCCTTTCACTCTGTACCCTCACTCTGCCTCCAAAATGCTGGAATTGCAAGTATAGGCCACAAGACCTAGATGTCAGGTTCTTTTTTGAAAAGTTGGGAGCTGGAGAGATGGCTCAGTGGTTAAGGTCATTGGCTGTTCTCCCAGAGG